ATAATATATCCAAATTCTTATAGAAATATGCTAAGATATAATGGTGTTTACTGTATTTAAAGTACATTAAAATACCTGGTAGAATAATAGAAGATTTTCTCTCTTTTTCTCTCATGGAAGATTGCATTCATACAATTAAAAGAACTGGAAAAGAGTGCCAATAATTATTAAGTTTTATCTTTTCAAATGTTACTATCTACCTGTTATTAGCCAAGCGCCACTGCATTTTATTGCTAGTGAAAACTTGGGTAAGTAACTGAGTTCTCTACTTCCCTTTGACTGTAGGCCCCAGTAAATGGATTCCATACAGCGTGTGCTAGAACTTACAGTTCAAACACCACCACCTTCCAGCCTTATTTATGGAGTGAAGGAACTTACTATGAAATTTATTTATTTATTTATAAATTCCTGGTAATAATCATCTTTATTTTAAAAAATATTTTACTGATTATGCCATTACAATTGTCCCATTTTCCCCCTTCATTCCCCTCCACCCTGTACATCCCTTCCCCCCAACACCCCCCCATTTAGTTCATGTCCATGTGTCACAAGTTCTTTAGATTCTGTATTTCCCATACTATTCTTGCCCTCCCCCCTGTCTATTTTCTACCTACTGTCTATGCTACTTATTTTCTGTACCTTCTCCCCCCTTCTCCTCCTCCCACTCCCCTGTTGCTAACCCTCCATGTGATCTTCATTTCTATGGTTCTGCTCCTGATCTAGCTGTCCTCTTAATTTGCTTTTGTTTTAGGTGTGGTTGTTAATAACTGTGAGTTTGCTGTCCTTTCACTGTTTATATTTTTTAACTTCTTTTTCTTAGATAAGTCCCTTTAACATTTCATATAATAAGGGCTTGGTTAGATTTAGAGTCTACTAGTTTTTATTTTTTAATGGGAAGCCATGCAGCAGGTACCCTTTTTTTTCCTGAGATGTTCTTGTGTTTGATGGGGGGAGGAGGTAGAAAGAGCAAAAATAAAACAAGAGACAGGAATAAATAAAAAATTTTATCATTAGCTGAGATAGAACAGCATAAAAGCTATTGCTTGGTTAAAGATATTATGGTATTTAATATAACAGTTCATATTTCTAACTACTTAAGTTAGCAGAAGTTTGCCAATATATGATTCTGATGGGTTAATAATAAACTTCCATTAAGCACTTGTTTTATGTGTCCTCATTTCCATTTTAAAAAAGTATATTTTTTCCTCAAAAGTTTAATGTAGTATCTGTCAATAGGAGTATTACTTGGACCAAGGAAAATTTTCTTATTTCCATTTTTCATTGTTGTTTATATCCAGTTGTCTCTATTTTCGCACCATCACTCTGCCCACCTCCCCCCATCCGCACCAAAGGGAAAAGATCATCAAGGAACTTGTATAAAGGACACATGAACAAAGCCACAAGGTGGAAAAATTGCTTCTAAATATTCGTTGTTTGTAGGAAATATTTGACTGAATCTCTTTATCTATGACAGTGTCTTTTCATTGTTGCTTTCTATGATGGCCTCTGTGTGCTGCTTTAGTTTAAAAACACTTAATGCTGCCTTAAAATCATTATCCACTGCCTTAATCATTCATTCTCCAGGGCACTGATACTTCTGAATCCCTTTCTTTCTTACTCCCTTCTCAAAAGGTTCCACAAGGACATAGATATTTGAAGCTTTCTGCCCGTTTTTGCTTAACCTTGGCTTTCTCTGGCACATATCTGTGCATGTATACAAGGATGATACAGCCTCAAATCACAAGCATTTTCAATTACAGCTCTTCCCATGTATCATATTTCAGAGACAGGTCACATACCCCTATCTGCATATAAACAAATGAGGCCTGTTGTCATGGTATTCTCCTTAGATTTCTTAAGATATGCCAGAAAACCTAGAAAATTAATTACTGGCTTTTAAATTATTTTGGCCAAGAGGAATTATTTTCTTTTCCAGTATTTGTATGTGTGCATTTGTAGGCGGTGGGGAGAGATATTTCAAATAGGTTACTTTGTCCATTAAGCTGAAATGTTGATGGAATTAGATTTGAGAGAAAATTCAGAAAAGCGTGCTCATAAATAATACAAATATATAATAGAATTTTATGCTACCACTACATATAATATAACCTAAGACATAAACGAGAGTAAGAGTGAACCTTTCATGGTTACTGGGTGAATACTGTTCTTTGTTGACATTAAAAAATGAAATGTATATGAACAAATTAAGTATTTACCTATGATAACAATTGAGAGCAAAAGTTACAAACCTTGAATTTGTCATAAAAGCCACTGCTGACACAGACTTGACCGGGGGTTGTGAACACACAGTGGAGTGTGTAGATGATGCCTCGTGTAATCATGCACCTGAAACCTGTATAATTTTGTTAACCAGTGCCACCCCAATGAAGTCAATAAACAAGGGGAAAAGTCACCGCTTTGCACGAACTAAATCTTCCTTAACTTTCCTCTAGAAATGATGAAATACAAACATCTGCAACTCTTCACTAGTCTTTATTTCCTTCTTAGACAATTTCCTGTTAAGGGAATGGTAGATATTGATTTCTGACTTTTTGCTCATTTATAGTCCGTAACACAAGTTTCATTATCAGCCCTTATGATTTATAAACTATTTATCTTGAACTGAAAATTTTGGTGGTTATGCAGAATTTTATTAAAACCAATGGGATGAAACCTGATATTTGTGAATTTTTCCAAAGTAACAGAGCTAAGAACGAGACAGTGCATTGTAGATGGCTATGGTTAATCCAATAGGTATAGTATGTTATGTGGATGTTTTAACTATCACACATGAGAAATAAAAGCCACATTATGAATATCTTCATTAAAAAAGTTTAGGTTGATAAAAAGCAATAAATAGCAAACCTTACAACAGAGTACTAAGCAGTGATTTAGGCTTACAGTTGATAACCAACCCTTTCAGAAAGAATTGTAGAAGTAATATCTTTCTTCAACCGCTTCGGATATTAGAGAACAGAGTGCTTCATCAGAGTGATCCAAAGAAACTGAGATATGGCTCAAAGGCCAACAACATTAATAATGAAGGCTGACTTACTTTCTCTAGAAGTTTATTATGTGTTTTTTTTTTTATCCTTTAAGCTCTTTCTCTTAAAGATATAAAACTGGAAATGATATACCTTAGTAGGAAGTCTGAGGTCATTACTGAAATAATTGACAGAACACATTATAAAAATATTTTTATGTAGTGAGGCTATTATGATACCAACATATCACGCAGGCAATAATGGGCATCTAGTTCTGCTATTTGTAATCCCCCAGGCTGGGGAAGAAAATCTGCTTTTGCAGCATTAAAAATTGGAAAAAAATGATGGATTTGACAATTTGGTTATCTAATTTTGGAGTGGAAAGCTATCTTCAGTTATATAAAATATCCTTCCTGAGCTCTCTTTCTCAATCGTATTGCATCCCACTTCATCTCTGTTTGCTGCCTCCTGCTGCCACGCTCTCTGTGCTTAGCATAAAACAAAGTTAAGTCTCGGTAGGGTGCATTTCTTCCCTCTCAGAGTAGGAAGAAGAAACAAAGAGCAATAAAGAGAGGTAGATAATATAAAAACAAGTAAGGCACCAAAAAAAGAGAGTTAAGGGGGAAGAAAACATCACTGGGCCAAGAATCCTAAAATCACACACTTAAAATTTTGCCAGTAAGTAGTATTATGTCCTCTCTGTTTTGGGATGTTGCCTTCATAGAGCTGGAATATCAATTCCGCACATTGGGTCTTTCTCCTTTCATAAGCTCCCCCTGAAACTAAAGAAGGGCTATGTATAAAATTTTTACAGCCACCTTATAATTATAGCTTTTATGCATATGCAGGATGGTCATCCTCCGCACCCCGCCCCAGCCCCCCGATCAGGGATCATGTTCTCTGCATTTCACGTCAGAAGTGCTCTAAATACGCTTAAGAATTTAAGATGTTCGAGGAAATCTTTCCACTTCTGGCGCACCAGTTTCCTCCTAAAAAAGGCCTGTGCGTTTGGAAAAGGCCTATTCCAAGACCCTTCTGTTTTTTTCTAGAAGGCCTACCACTGCTACTCCAGGGGTGGAGATGAAATTGGTTCGGCATTGCTCCTCGTTAGCTCTCCACCCCTTCCTTAATTTCTCCTCCACATTTCGGGCTCTTTTCTCACATTGCCAAAGTGAACTCACCCTGCAGCAACCTTGCCAAGGTAGGGCAGACCAGTGGCGAAAGCAGGGCGTTTGGAACCTTCTGCAAGTAGTCTCACTAGGTTGGTACAACAGCCCTTTTCGCAGCACTGTCCTTCCCGGATGGATAATTCGTCCCTCTACCCCTTTGTTCTACTGAATGGCAGGATTGGAAAGATTTTACAGCATCAGGTGCTTCTCCGACCATTCATCGGCCTGGGCCCCGAGGCTCTGTCCTCACCAGGTGAACCATACCTGGGGTGGGGCCGCTGGCGCAATTGGCACTCAGCCACTTCAGAGGCTCCAGCTTCTGGCACCGCTGGGCAAATAAATAGTGCCACCTGGTTGAGAGTCAAAAACGGTGCTTTAAAATGCAAATACAAACCCCTCCTACATTTGTTGTCAAATCACTTATTCACGATTCCCAGGCTTGCCAATGGATTCTGCGCCCGGGAAAAGAGCTCGGGGCACGCTGCCTGCATGTGCAAAAATAAACCCCGAAGACGCCAGCCAAGTAGTGGGCTGGAGCCTCTGCAGCCTGATGCCCGCTGGGCGGCTGGCTGTCCCCTGGGAGCCCGCGGGGCTGGGTCCGCTCCTCCTCCGGGCGGCGGGAGCCAGCGGGCGCCGACTTTAAGAGTTCCTTTCTGCCTTGTAAGGAGGGCTGCTCCCGGCCGGTCCCCGCCCGATTGCTCTGACGCCCAGCCCTCCCGCTGCCCACCCCCAGCCACCTCCCTCCGACTTGCGGGGAGAAGCCAGACGGAGCCTCTCGCTGCCACAAGTCTCTCCGCCTGCCATCCCCCCCCCTCCCCGTTTTCCGACATCCACCCCCACACCCCTCCCAAGAGCCGCCATCCCTCCTCCGCCCCCGCCTCCGCCTCCCTCTCCTCGGCAATCAGGGGAATAAATCAGGGAAGAAATAGAGAGGGGAAAAGAGAGAGAAGATAGTGAGAGTGCGCGGGCGCTGGAAGGCTCGCCCAGGTTGGTTTCCAAAGTCGCCCTTGATGGCGGCGGAGGCGCGGCAGCCTCGGCGCTGAGCTGCAGACACGCGCTGGAGGGTCCGCCCGCCGCCGCCCCTTCCCCGCGCCGCGCCCCCGCCCCAGCCCAGTCCGCGCCCCGGCCGGGCGCGCCGGCCCAGCAGACGTCCGCGGCCGGACGCGAGTGCTCCTTCTCGTCCCGCGGTTTCCTGCCCCGGTCCCTTCCCCGTCTGGGGAGGGAGGCGGGATTGATCTTCGATCGCGAAGATGGCTGCTGGCTGCCTGCTGGCCTTGACTCTGACACTTTTCCAATCTTTGCTGATCCGCCCCTCGTCTGAGGAGCCGTTCCCTTCGGCCATCACGTAAGTCGCCGGGCGGGGCAGGGCTAGGGGCGCCGGCGAGGCTGTTGCCGGAGCTGGGCTCGGAGTCCGTCCCCGAATCGCGGGGCTTTCCTGCCCGTGGGGGTGGGGACGGAGCCGGGCTCGGATCCGGAGAGGCCGCGCGGGAGGTGCGCGCGGCTCGCCGCTGGAAAGGGCTCCCGCCCGGCGTGTCGGAGGGGCCGGCCGCGCCGGCCGCGCGCTCCCTGGGAACGTCCGCAGTCAACTCGCCGCGCTTCGACCCCTCTTCTAAAGGAATCTCGGACGTAAAGAGTTTATAGGTACTGGGGGAAAGAAAGTTTCCCGCCAGTTAGCTGCTCTCAGCAAACCTACTCTAATAAAAAGTTGTGATTTGGTTGGGTATGTTACAAATAGGTAATTTCAGGCTTGTCAGTGTAGCCTGGACTTGTGCCGCACTTGGCCTCTGGGATGCTCTCTAATTCCTGGAGTGTCCAGACTCGGCTGGATCCCAGTTTACTGGGCGCACTTGACAGCCTTTCTGGTAAGAAGTGTCCCCACTCTCCGCGGCCCCGCGGCAGAGTACCGTCCACCCAGGGGTCTCACAGGTACGGGGAGCACGCTCTCCAACGGCCCCAACCTTTAATTTGGAGCATTTAAAGGCTGCAAGACACGCGGTTCCTGTTCTTAGAATGAACAGAACCTATTTTTTGAGGGAGGGCCTGAGCGTTACCAGAGTGTCCCGCAATTTCTTTTATTTTTAACATTTCTAAAATAACTTAAAAAAAAAAAAAACCTCGTTGCTATTCTGGAAATAGAGTGTTTAAAGGTAGCTGGGTAAGCACACGGCCAGAAGGGAATGAAAAATAATTCTCTCCTCTCTTAGGCTGAAAAAAAGATTCAAAGTCAGTGGCACATAAAAATGCATACATATTTTTAAGTGCGCTGAATAGCCAGCCTATCAGGCATTCTGGGAAAGCATTTATTTTAGTTCTTGAAGCTGCTTTAAAGCTTCTGAGAGTAGGTACCGTTAAGTGGATGAGTCACTTTAATGCATTTTACATAACAAAAACAAAGCCCAAGGTAGCCTTCCCGGTATTTAGGATGTCGGGAATTACTTGCTGTCCTCTTGTTGGCCGAGTGCTGAATACTGGAGTTTTGGGAGGATGCTAACAGTGAATCTTTACCAGTCGAAACCCTTTTGAAGCTATTTAAGACTCAGCCTAAAGCATTTTTTACATTAGGTGTCAGTGCAAGTATCTGACGGTTGCACATTCACACCCAGAGAAGGGAAGTATCTAATATTTTTGTCACTGATTTACAGTTATGTTTCTTTTTAGATAATTTTCCATAAAAATGATTGCAGATCCTTTTTTTGTTAAGAAGCAAAAGGGAAAGTGCCATCTGTAGATCTTCGTTTAATTGGCAGCATGTTCCAAGCAGATATTTCGAAACATGAGAAAAGTAAGAATGACCTTAAAGATGCTTCAAAATTTTTTACTCTTATTAAAAAATTATGCTCTTATTTATTTATTTATTTATTTATTTATTTATTTATTTATTAGCTTGGCCTATACAGCAAGACCTTAAATGGCTCACTTGCATTTTGTGTCAAATAAAGTGACTCTTTAAAAAGGAGTCTGTGTGTTCAGTTTACACAATTTTAAAGTCTTATTTTTAACTGACGGTTTATCAGTATTTCTGTCATTTGAGGGAATGCATCCTCACACCTTTGGGGGAAACTATAACTTTAAACTCCAACAAAATACCACCTTTTATTCCTGAACATACCATGCTAAAAATCTTTATTTTAAGAACAGCTGCAATAAATGATTTTCTAAAATCAAAATAACTCATTTTTTATGGTGAGATATTTACTAGAGACAAGAAAGAAAATAAATAGTGGGCAAAAATAAGAATTAGGAAACCACGGTTTCTTTTCTTTGAAAGAATTAGAAATTTATTTTTTAACAATGGGAATGTAATGTCTTCATATTATTTGAAACACTCATGAAATAAAAGCTTAACAAAAGGTTTTGTATCTCTAAGTCAGCCTCCTATAGATAATATTAACGGTATTTTTGTGAGGATTCTGCATCTTATTATTTATTTGTAAAGTTAGTAACAGCATCTTCAGAGGAGAGGAAAAATTATTGTTGACATCTGTACTTCATGTTAGATTCCTGAATAAATTTGATAAAAATCTTTAAAAATGCAGCATTATTTTCAACAAGATGTGATGCCATTTGCTTTTCTTGAAAAACAATAATTCATATGGAGTGTTGAGATCATCAGGATAAATCTCAAATTTGTGGAGGAAATATCAGGTTTATAAAAACTGTACAGAGATTATATATAGCATTCACTAAAGGCACATTATTGTGCTTCTCTATATAAATTTCTCTGGAAGTCATGAGTAAATCCTTTTGTGTTTTGACAATTTTACTTTTCCGAGGAAAGGTAATATAGGAAGTTCTGATTGTCAGAAGAGGATGCCATCAGCACACTGTAGAATTGTGCCCTTAACTGCTGTGGGACCGGAATTAGAATTAGTAATTCTGTGTGTTTTTAAAGAGTGTTTATAATACCAAGGGCTTAAGTTTTATTATAATAAAGCAAAAATATATCATTCTTAATATCTTTGATTTTTCTACTCTCTCCTTTCTCATACATTCTCCTAGCATATACTTCTGGATGAAAGTAGTAGTTAAAGTATTCTAAGTGTTAATACTAAAATAATGGGTTCCTTCAGACAAAGGAATTGATATGGTGCTTTGCTAGGTTAGGTTTTTCTTGAGGAAATGACTGTCTCAATAAAGTGTGAAACATAAATATGCCATATGGTAGCAACCACCTAATGCATATTGGTTTATATGTAAATGAAAAACACATAATTTTCATGTTATAGTATACACATATTATATTGGTAGTTTAAAATATATTTTCAAAAATGGAGCTCTCACTTGTTCTAGAAATAATTTCTTGACGCACATGTGAAAACATTTCTATTTTAAAACTTAGAGTAATATGTATGCTAGCCAGGATTCTAATGTTAATTTAAACCTGTCTCTCTTAATTGTAGAATCCATTTACAAATCCAGTTTTTTTAAACATTGTAGTTATAACCACTCTTCATGTGAAACTTTTATCAGTCATATCAAAATGCCACTTAAGCAGGTATAATTGGCCGAGAGAACATTGATATATGGAGAACACTGGGGTAATGGGATAAATATATTTGTAAGAATATACATGACATAAATATAACATCTTAAAAAAGAATAGCACTCAAGTTTTAATATTTTAGATATATATCTTTTTCTGTTATCAGGCACATTTTAATTTAAAGATTGCCGAAAATAATATTTTTTATGTCATTGGAATGGATATGACATTGGATTAGACATCGTTTCTGTGTGTTAGAAGTGACCCAATCATTCTCACTTGGGCTCAGCAATTACTATTCACATACTATGTGTACAAAAATGTGTATTATGATAAAATATAAGATAAACTATTAAATATAAAATAAAACCTTAAAACTCTGAATATTAATACATCATTATATTAGATCTTTAATTTGTTCTCATCAGCTTAAGAACATGATGTTTATTATTCCACAGGTGCATGTTTAAAATATGCAACAGTAGATCTATTTTCCCACATAAGTAGTCATGGGATATAAAATTTATTACTGTTTATACATAGGTATACATGTTGCTCTGTGGATTGGAATTTGAATGAGCATTAGGTCAATGGCTATGGATATAAACCCCAAACAAATTTTGGAAATATACAAAATTCTGAGCTGATTATGGTTTATAACAAGTAGGTAAAATGTGCCTTTATTTTTATGGCTTTCACTAATTTAAATTTACTAACTATATATAAAACCAGAATTTAAAGCAAGTTGTTTACTTTGAAAAAAATAAAACATTTAGTACTGTTTCTGCCAGGAAACCTTACTGTATAGACACCTTTCTGTTATTTCTCTAGTGTTGACAAAAATAGCATAATAAAACACTTTCCCTTATAGGGTTTACACATGGTAAGGTTTTGCAAAAACGTAAATGACACGTGCAAATTATATATTCAAATTTAGTATTTATATTTAAAGGTATATATTCATAAGAAATAGCAAAGCATTTAGGAATTTTAAAATAACTTTAAAATTGCACACATAATAACCTCTGTTATCTGATGTGTTCTTTAGAGTGTCATTGCACAAAGCACATACACAGAAGGTTCTTTGCCATGATTTTCAGTATACATGTCTATTTCCAAGTAAGTAGTCTGTTCTTCTGCATTCACCTCTTGTTTTCTTTCATGTGTGTTCAAACTGTTTTAAACTAGAGATTTAAATGGTTAAAGTAAAATATATTTTAGGCAAATTGCCAATTTGTTGATTCCCTTCAGTGTCTTACATATATGGGCATAATCAGTTCTGGCATAAGCATGCTTAACTAGAATTTTGCAAAGAAATCAGAATTTGTTTCAGTATTTTTAAGAAGTAATATTTTACTGTGTTGAAAGTGACAACCTTTCATCATTTGTAACAAAAGAGCTGTCTGTTGTAGTATTTCAAAAAGCATGTAAGCTGCTCACTGTGGGGCAAGTACTCTGCTGTGTTTCATCCACTCCACCTTCACATAAGGCTGTTGGTGTGCACCAGGCACCGTATCAAACTGTGTCAGCCAGTCCTTTTCATGGACTGTCTGTGTAATACAACTGCTCCTGCGCCTTTCGTACAGTTGCTTTCCAGTAAACTAACTTAGAGCTACACTGAGCTAGGCGACCATGTAGCTAACATGATTCATTTTTTCTCCTGTGTGCACAAGAAGATGAAAATAACCGGCTGTGTCATATTGTTTACAGAGTTGAAAGAAAGAGGGTATCGACTTCAGTGTCAGTTGAGGGAAAAACATAGCACTTTGTCAAAAATACTGTATTTAAATTCTTTTCTTCGAGGGTCTAAAATACAAATATATCATAATTAGATAAATTGTCCAGTTTATATTTTTATAGTA